AAATTGGTAAGCTGAGGGGGGGTCATGCGATTTTTAAATGGTGCTTCCCAAATCCCACCAGCCCCCCCTCCCTCATAAAAAATGAACGGTCCCTAACTGTGGTACGTTTGGCCAGCTGTAGAATTACGTTCAATAATAGGACACAAGTAATTGTAAAGCAATTCTTGTTAGGTATAGTGAGCGAACATTACGTCTTGGCTTGTGGCCGATGACGTGTCTTTTGCTGTTCCTTCAGCTTGACGAAACTGTTTTTTTTTTTTGTAATATACTCGGGGTATCTTAGAGTCAACCTGGTAGACATAAACAATCATGTAAACTGCTTGGTACGCCTAGGTTTACCTTACAACGCTTCTTCCAGAATAAAACAAGAGCTGTTTTTTTGTTTTTGTTTTGTTTGTTGTGTTTTTATGATTGAACTGTATGAATAAAGCAGGCTACTCCTAAGTAGCCCCTGTAGTTCCTAAGCATGATCTAACCCCTACATTCTCATTACAATATTGATGCATTGTCAAGAAGGCGGGTGATAAGAATAACAAAATCATCAACTAGAGGATAGTGTCTGAGGCTCCATCATTCTCAGATTTTAACGTTAAATCCAATGTTTGGTTCTCCTGTGACACAGGCATGTCGTCAATGGTGAAATCCTCGGCGTCTCGTTGCTTCTTGAAGACGTCCTTCAGAATGGCCTCCCAGAATTCTTCTCCCAACAGCCAGATGACTCGGCTCTCTCAGCTTCCACTGGACAGCGTTCCCGACCGAGCACGAGTACTTCCCGAAGACCTCCGAGCCGTCACAGCGACAAACGCGACAGCCATGGAGATAACGGTGTCGAGATCGCTGTTCCAGTGGAGACTGGGCCTTACGGAGATATTCCCAAGGGGTCGGTATCGTTCAGTACCAATCCCCAAGCGGCCGTCAGGCTGATCAATTTGTTTTTGCTTGTGTGCTCGCGACTGGAACTTCTGAAAGTTGACTGGGGCTGTAGAAAACTAGGCGTTAACGAGATATCAACGTCTAAACTTTACAGAACTATGTGGTAAGTCTTTATTACATCGCGTTGGCAGTGTATTTGCAATGCAAGCTCGTCTTGATATTATTCTTTTTTATTTTTTTTTTCATCCATTGTCATTTAATATTTAGGTGTATGTTAATTAATCATTTTAGATAGTGCAGGTCCACATCAGGACTTAATGTCTTGCCAGTTCCCCAACCTGCTTTACCAAATAAATTATGTGTGTATGTATGTGTATGTATATATCATACAGCTTCCATGTTGTGCTCTGCCTTCTCCAATTTGAAGGGTTTTCAAGCGATGCACGGCAATCCGTTTGAGAAGATTCTGCTTTGCATAGTTAATTCCTGTTCTAATGGCCACTGTAAAGTTCATTAGTGATTTTGGTCTTCTTTTGCGGAGACACTTTCACGGATGTCTCCAATTTTAGAGCTCTGGCTGAAAAAAAAAATGACTCCTGCTTGGCGGTATAATAAATGACTTGCTGACATCAAAATATATTATTCCTCACATTTAAGCAAAGTTTACAAGATCGAAATTCTGCAACCAGTTTATCAACAAGTCGCTGTTAAAATGGGTCAGGTATGGTGCCTTTTGAGTTGTGCTTTCAGTGGAGATTATACTGTTTGTTTTACGAGAGAAACAAACGTAAATGCTAGATTCCTCATAACATAACATAACATAACAACATAGCATAGCATAACATAACATAACAAAACATAACATAACATAACAAAACATAACATAACATAACA